CAAATTAACTAATTAAACAAACACAGTTGGAATCAAATTCATACAACGAGGACAGGAACAGGAAGGACCAAATAAGGAAAACAGGAACATACATGTGACAGATAGCCCCCCTCCCGGATGGCTTGGGCCCATGAGGGAGGCTGGTGCAGGACTGGAACAGGGCGGAGACAAGGAGAGCCTCCAGGGCGGATCAGGGGACTCACAGGAGGCCATGGCGGATCCTCCGTGGCCTTAGCTGACTCGGCCACGGATACACGGATTGTTTCATGTGTAGGCATGTTCCAGATGTGAAAAGCAAAAAAAAACTGCTGTATATGCTGTTTCTTTTTATTTGATTACAAGTTTCCATTATGAGTCTAAATGATTTTGCTTTGCAGACTATAAAATGTTAATTTTAGTTGACCCACTTTATATTAAGTTAAATTAGTCAGTTGATTTTATGCACATTTTGTACATGTTTTTTTTTTCTTGACATTGGTTTGGTAACACTTTATTTTAAGGTATTCTTGTTACACATGTTACATGTACTTACTATTTATAATAACACTAAATTATGCATAATTACATACAAGTAACCCTAAGCCAACCCCTAACCATATAGCATGTACATGTAGTTAATTAATATTATTTAGTACTTAAATGTATAATTACACTGTAACAAGAACACAAAATAAATTGTGACCTTGTTGTTGTTGTTGGGTTTTTTCTCCCCCCATTACATTGTAAAATTCTGTAGTTACATCTATAATTTCACTGTTGATCCCTAACCCGGTCCCTGTACCCGTAAACATAACCATGCCACCAAGCCTGTGAAATCTATATGAAACTCAACTGGCAGCCAACTGACAATAACATCTGGCTAATAGTTTTAATTAATTATTTTTTTGGAACATAACCTTAAAAAACTTCATATTCATATTTAAAATCAATCATATTCATTTAAATACCTCTTCATTTTCAACCCTCAACTTCTGAAACTTCAATAATCCCCATAATAATACAATCTACCTCCCCCCCTATGGTTGATTTCTTATTAGCAGGCCAGCAGTGGACCCACTATTTCTCAGAATGGAGGCCCTGCCCCAACACCTTTTTTGAATATTACTTGAAATTGAAATAAAAACAAACAGTACACTACAAGCCATATTGAAGAAAGAAGGGAAGGTCCCCCCATTTTATAGCATTCTTGCAATTTCCCTGTGGCAAAGAGAGCCAGAACACAGGCATTTAAAAGAGGACTAACTGTGTCAGGCATTAGCACAAACACTTCCCCAACCTTCCGAACAAACCCCCTTCCAAGGAATGTTTAAAAGGAGCTGCAAAACAGAACCTTTTCTCCTCTGCCTGTATTTCTTCATGTTGGTTATAATCGTTTGAAAGGAAGAGGACAGGAAGAGACTAACAGGTAAAAACAGTTCTGCTATGGATATCTACACATCGAAATCATGAGTGTTTATTTAATGTATAAGGCCTAACACTGCTACAGTTAATAGAATAAAAGTGTCGGTGTTCTTATTTGGAGTTGGTGTTGTCCATAGTTAGTCAACACTCATACAAGTCCAAACTGATCAACTACGTCCACTTTCAGTCTTGCCCTTGGCTGGATGATCACCATTTTGTCAACTTCAGAGCAGGGGTGCATTTCCCAAAAGCAGTGTAAACCTAAGTAGATCATGGAAACCACTGGCACGTGTGGTCTTTACAAACAACTTAGGCTTCTGGAAATGCAGCCCAGTACAGTATGCTAACTTTAGCTGTTTTATTTGAGGAATATGTGACAAATACCATCTATTTACATGGTTAAGGACTTTGTTAACATTGTTAGATTATTACAATTTGCTCTAGCTACATTAGATTAGTTATGTTTTATATTTATATATAATTATTTTATATTTAATCATACATAATAATTATATATAAACTTTCTTGTTTTTAGATGTTTAGATTTCATCTTCGCCATTACCTGTTCATGGTCTTTTTTTGTTTGTTTGTTAGTGAGTTTTGTATTTTCAAAATATTTATTTATTTATTTATTTATTTATGCACAGTATGTATTTATGGTGAAGTGGTTCTGTGCATCTGTTTATAGAACAGAGTTTTAAAGAGCGTTTTAACACAGAGAAATACTGTTGTTTGTTTTCACACAGAGAAATACTGTTGTTTGTTTTCACACAGAGAAATACTGTTGTTTGTTATTACCAACGTGAATACTTTTGTTTGTTTTCACACAGCGAAATACTTTTGTTTGTTTTCACACAGCGAAATACTTTTGTTTGTTTTCACACAGCGAAATACTTTTGTTTGTTTTCACACAGCGAAATACTTTTGTTTGTTTTCACACAGCGAAATACTTTTGTTTGTTTTCACACAGCGAAATACTTTTGTTTGTTTTCACACAGCGAAATACTTTTGTTTGTTTTCACACAGCGAAATACTGTTGTTTGTTTTCACACAGAGAAATACTGTTGTTTGTTTTCACACAGAGAAATACTGTTGTTTGTTTTCACACAGCGAAATACTGTTGTTTGTTTTCACACAGCGAAATACTGTTGTTTGTTTTCACACAGCGAAATACTGTTGTTTGTTTTCACACAGCGAAATACTGTTGTTTGTTTTCACACAGCGAAATACTGTTGTTTGTTTTCACACAGCGAAATACTGTTGTTTGTTTTCACACAGCGAAATACTGTTGTTTGTTTTCACACAGCGAAATACTGTTGTTTGTTTTCACACAGCGAAATACTGTTGTTTGTTTTCACACAGCGAAATACTGTTGTTTGTTTTCACACAGCGAAATACTGTTGTTTGTTTTCACACAGCGAAATACTGTTGTTTGTTTTCACACAG